GCCAGGCGCCCTCTTTTTTAGTATATAAGCCCGGCAAATAAAGCCAGCGAGGGGGAGATATGCAGATAGATTGAAGAAATAGATAGATAATTGAGTCAAGCGAACAGTAGGGGTAAGTAAAATGTTTGAATAACTGTGATTTATAGCGTGTGTTATAAAGGTTGTTAAGTTTAAAGTGACTATGGAAATTCTGTGTATTACAAAGTTGTATCGAGAAAGAATAAACTAGTTTTAATTAAGAAGGGACTTGTATCGCTGAAGCCACTCGGAAAGAATTTATATCGGAAATAATCAAACAAGCAGATACGCAACATTATAAAATTAAGTTATGTTCTTAAACAAAGTATGGGTATTAAATCATGTTCCTTTGTTAAACAAAATGTAGATATTAAAACATCAAGCCCTTTCAGCCGTGGGGGCGTTATAATGTGACGGTCAATCCCATTATTCGTTGGTAAAAGAGTAGCCCAAGAGTTGGCGGTGGGTGGTGATGACTAGCTGCCTTTTCTCTAGTCTTACACTGCTAAATTAGGGACGGTTAGCGCAGATAACCCTCGTGTAGCTTTGCGCGAAATTAAAAAACAAACAAACAATTGCAGCATCGTGGGGAGTTTTTTTTTTTTCTTTTTTGCACTGTGTAATTAGATGGTCGTCCTCACAACTCATGTGGGAGAGACTTGCATGCTGTAGATACATGGCCGTGACTTTAACAATTGAAACACTGCGTGAATCGAGCGAACAAAGTCAGTAGACAAAGATAAATCTGCACAGATGACGATCTAAGCCTAAAAAACATCGGTAATATTTACAGTTGAAAATTGTTTAATTTTCATGAGAAATCTGGCTCAAAGTGGCACCAAATTGCTCCAGTGTGAAAACAATTGGACTTGTGCAAGCTGACGGTGATTCTGGCTCTGAACCTAAATTATTTCACGATGATATTGAGCGTAATATGTCTGAAAAAAAAAGTACACGCCTTAAGGGTTGATACCTAAATTTTGTTTAAGATAGTAATGTGGTTAAAAAACATATGCTTCCTTTAAGAGAATAAATTCGATTAATGTTTCAACTTTCTTCCATAAAGGAACATTTTTTAATATTAAAACTGTGTTTAGGAAGGAACAGTGTTTTGATATCTTATCTTCGATTAACAATGGACCATGATTTAATATGCAAACTTTGTTTAAGAAATTACTATTGCGCTTTAAAACTATTTTAATAGCAATCTTCCTGACATATTCTTAGGATTGTCATCATTATTCAGAATTAAACTATTTCTATTACTCAGATATAATCCACACTGCAGTTCTGTTGTTACTACGATATTTTAGTCGATTCCTTATATTTCAGAATGGAGAATCTAGTGAGAGGAAGAAGAATAGAGAATCTAGTGAGAAGAAGAAGTATGGAGAATCCAGTGAGAAGAAGTATGGAGAATCTGGTGAGAAGAAGAAGTATGGAGAATCTGGTGAGAAGAAGAAGTATGGAGAATCCAGTGAGAAGAAGTATGGAGAATCTGGTGAGAAGAAGAAGTATGGAGAATCTGGTGAGAAGAAGAAGTATGGAGAATCTGGTGAGAAGAAGAAGCATGGAGAATCCAGTGAGAAGAAGTATGGAGAATCTGGTGAGAAGAAGAAGTATGGAGAATCCAGTGAGAAGAAGAAGTATGGAGAATCCAGTGAGAAGAGGAAGAATGGAAAATCCAGTGAGAAGAAGAAGCATGGAGAATCCAGTGAGAAGAAGTATGGAGAATCTGGTTAGAAGAAGAAGTATGGAGAATCTGGTGAGAAGAAGAAGTAAATGTTTTTCGTTTGTGTTTTGTAACATAATATGTTATTTCAACTAGACACTTATGACCCTTGTCTACCTTTGATCTGTACTAAACTAACAGAGCAGACTACATAATTATGTCAATGAATGTCGATCTGTAGGTACCTTAACAGAGTAGAGTATATAACTATGTCAATGAATACAGATCTGTAATTACACTAACAGAGTAGAGTATATAACTATGTCAATGAATACAGATCTGTAATTACACTAACAGAGTAGACTACATAATTATGTCAATAAATGTAGACCAGTAGGTAATTTAACAGAGTAGACTACATAATTATGTCAATGAATGTAGATCTCTAGGTACAATAACAGAGTAGACTATATTATTATGTCAATGAATGTAGATCTGTAACTACACTAAAAGAGTAGGCTACATAATTATGTCAAGGAACGAAGATCTGTAGGTACATTAACAGAGTAGACTACATAATTATGTCAATGAATATAGGCCTATATTTACATTAACAGATTAGACTACATAATAATGTCAATGAACGTAGATCTGTAATTACAATAACAGAGTAGACTACATAATTATGTCAATGAATGTAGATATGTAATTATACTAACAGAGTAGACTACATAATTATGTAAATGAATGTAGATATGTAATTATACTAACAGAGTAGACTACATAATTATGTAAATGAATGTAGATATGTAATTATACTAACAGAGTAGACTACATAATTATTTCAATGAATTTAGATCTGTAGGTACACTAACAGAGTAGACTACATAATTATGTCAATGAATGTAAATCTGTAGGTACATTAACAGAGTAGACTATATTATTATGTCAATGAATGTAGATCTGTAACTACCCTAACAGAGTAGACTATATTATTATGTTAATGAATGTAGATCTGTAACTACACTAACAGAGTAGACAACATAATTATGTCAATTAATGTAGATCTGTATGTACATTAACAGAGTAGACTACATAATTATGTCAATGAATGTAGATGTGTAACTACACTAACAGAGTAGAGTAGACTATATTATTATGTCAATGAACGTAGATCTGTAATTACAATAACAGTGTAGACTACATAATTATGTCAACGAACGTAGATCTGTAATTATACTAACAGAATAGACTACATACTAATGTCAATGAATGTAGATCTGTTACTACTCTAACAGAGTAGACTATATTATTATGTCAATGAAAGTAGATCTGTAACTACACTAACAGAGTAGACTACATAATTATGTCAATGAATACAGATCTGTAATTACACTAACAGAGTGGACTACATAATTATGTCAATAAACGTAGATCTGTAGTTACACTAACAGAGTAGACTACATAAGTAGGTCAATGATTTCATACTAAACGCTTGTTTCAATAAAAAGATATTATTTGTAAATATGTGCCAGTCTCATCTTTCACTATAAAAAAAAAGACACTGTAAAATTGTAACTACATAGTATTTATAACAATACGGAGTTTTTAATTTTGAGCTTAAAAACATCATAAGAGAAGAAAGCCTTTATCAGCCTATCCGCAATCGGTCAAACTCTTGGACACGTGACAAATCTAAGAACAAACTTGGTCTCTTGCATCACTTTCGCTAAAGTCATACTTTTTGTGTTAAGACGAAAAACAGAATAGGCGGCAGAACCTGGAGGGGGGGGGACACTGGGGGTACATTTCCCCTCAAGTTTTGACCATAGCAAAATGCTTTTTGAATTGGGAATAGAGATTGGTGTATAATTATCATGGTAAGTCGTTTATTTGTATGCAATGGTCACGGTTTACATAACAAATAATGTACCCCCAATCGTCGGTGTCCGCCCCACAATTAAGATTTGTTCCGTCCTCTATGAATAAAAACATTATTTCATACAGTTTTTTTCGATGAATAGTATAGACACAGAAATTAGTAGAATAAAGTTTTTTTTTATTATTTGAATGTCTACATTAATATAAGTTATTTAAGGTGGGTAAATAACACTTCAAATATCATACACATAGACTGCAACTTATCAATACGAGATGGTCGGTCCAGTTATTAACCTGTTCTTGTTCAAGATTACTGATGACGTTTGATTCCTGATATTGGTGTAACTCAGTGACATGTGGAAAATCTCCGAAAAGACCGGACCCTTCACTTCTTTGACAGCTACGATTTGTCATTATACAAACCTGTCATGGCCTGGTGTTAGGGTGCAAGACTTGCAAACTGTTGGTCGCAGGTTCAAATCCCCGTCACCGAACATGTTCGTCCTTTCAGCCGTGGGTTGTTATAATGTGATGGTCAATCCGTTGGTAAAGGAGTAGCCGATTGGTTTACAGTTAGTACTGGAATCTGTCCAGGATTTACATGTTTAATCAGGTTCATCATATTCACTAAATGAGGATTATGTCTCAAGAAGAGAAGTAAACCCATAATCACAAGAGGATGGAGGATTGATTATAGACTGATCTCATAAACTGGTCAAGACATGTAATAAGATTTATTCAAGCTTTCCTTCTGCGCGAGCTGACACAGACGAATCAACTACATGTGGTAATAGTCCATCAGATTACAGTCAGGGACGAGAGGTTCCTCAAAGGGAAGAAGTTTGGGGTTGTCATTGGGCAGCGCAGCAGGTGGAAAATGAATGTAGTTATCTCGTGGTCCGATAGTCATAGATCTGGGTGTGTCAATTGCAATGATTGTCTAAACGTGATATCTGGAAATTCCACTATTATTATAAGTCATATGTTGTGTCAAAGATAAAGATGCTCCATAAAAAGAGATTGAATAGAGATCATGATCAATTATGCCCAGATTTCTTGTAGAAAACAATTCATTTCTGAGTGTCGTAGGACACACTACACCATATTTTTCAGAGAGCTATGTGGGTCGATTGGCTTCATCAGTAGACAGCAGAGGAGCTCTATGATAGGATACAGACAGTCCTTTTTGAAACAGTATTTTTTTATTTTGCTGAGAATCAAGATACCAAGATTACAGGCAACAATGTTTCCAAAAGAAAAACACGTTACGTTTCTCTATTTGAGTCCTTCTGAATTATTTTCACAGAAATATAGACAATTAATTGAGTTAAGAACACATCAACTCTGCTGTAACTTTTATTAGTTTGAGACTGGTTGTTTCTCCAGTCACCATTTGCGCCAATGCCGACAGGGATTCCCATGTGGGTTCTTGCGCACGAGCTGAGGCGCAAGTATCAGCGTTAGTGCATCTGAGCCTGAACTTCTTTCACAAGCATATAACTGAGCACCACTGGTAGCAAGAGAGTTAATTAATATATATCATAGTTAAAAATAGCAACGTGTATAACATAGTTACTCAAATAGAGAAAAGTCACTGAAAATAACATAATTAGCGTTGGGGGTGTACGTTGAAACACCACTTTTTAGACGAAACAGCTTATTTCCAAGTATATTTGAAATCAGTAAATCTGAAACATGCTTATAATAAATTTCATTCTTTATTATAGAGGTTAGCGTTATTTTCTTCTATCTATATCACTAAAATAATATTTATAAGGTACAATTTAAACGCCGAAAGCTGGAAGTATTGGGAACCATTAGGCCTAAGATTTATTCTATTTTTGCTTTTCGGCATTACTACGAAATACATTAAAGACTTCGGTAAGCTTGTCAGTAATCGAGGGTCGATACACTTATCTTAAGAAATTCTTTCAATATCACATGAAGAAGATGTGAATTACAAATTCGTGTCCGATTCAATTTTTTTTTCTTTTTTCTCTGACGCATGCCATTATTGTATTATAATAAATGTTTCGAAATAGAATGTTTGGTTTTGTTATACCCCTAGTGTGTAAGAATGTATGGACATAAGCCTAATTAAGTACAATTAAGAAAGAAAGACTGCCAAACTTTAAAAAATATATGATTTTACAAAATCTTTTTTCGGCAAGTAAAATTTTAGTCACAAAACTAATAACTCTGTTATAAAAAACAAACAAAAAAAACATCTTACTTACATACGCATACACAGAGGCAGTTGAGTGTGTGTGCGCGCGCGCGGGTGCAGCTGTATATATGTATGAATTATATAATTAATTTATCATAATAAAACTGTTTGAAAAATGTTTAACACACAGGGACCCGAACCCTAAAGGCGCCCCCTATTTAAATATTTTTGTATACACCCCTGCATATTTAACAATAATGAGATTTTTCATCCAAACTACCATATTTAATAACTTTATCTTTACACTTTAAGTTTAATATGTTCTGGTGACTACCAAATAAACCACATTTGTAGTTTAGACTACAAATGATAAAAAATATCTCAACCAAATCAATATCTTTTTTATGTTTGGGTTAAGAACACTTGTCTCATCTTTATTGGTCTAGCTGTATGAATATCAAAATAATTGATTTTTTTTTCTTGTTTCACAGGGATACAAACAAATTTAAATCCAAAATTTGCTCCTTTTTTGTAGCGCTTGCAAACAAACGATGACCGTGATCCGCATTTCCGTGAAGCGGTCGATAATTCGAGTAAAGTAGGACTATAAAACGTCCAGTTATGTGGTATCGTCAAAATTGGAGTTATCGCGTTATGTGTCGACTCTAGATAGTTTGAAATGTAATAGAAGTATGTAGAGCTGTGATCGGCAGATTAGAAAATATCGTTAAAAAGTAGCAGCACTCAGCAAAAATATGAAAGGATTTACTGCAGATGTTAAAAACAACAAAACAAAACATGTATTTATTACTTTTCATTACAATTTGGGCCTTCGTTAGGCTTAGCTAGTTAATATGAAACTGAAAGTATTGTTGGAACGAATCACTCACGACCTGAATAAAGCGAATATTCTTTTATTCTCACAGTATTTTGAGAACACTTTATTAATTTATTTTTCTTTCGTATTATTTTTATATTAATAATCTTTATAAAGTTACAGTTTGTTTTTTTTATTATTTTTATGGTTATCTAGACTGACTTAGTTTCCTATAATTTTTATTGTTATTTAGCGACAACAATACATATGGAATGTCCCATTGTTTGTATAGGGCTAAGGTCTCATTCTCCATACTCATTCAGTTGATTACAAAACAACGTACAATTAAAGCGTTACATTAGTAACGTTTTAATTGTAAACAAAAATGGGGCTTTTACTTTATACATCAAGCTCCATTACATCAGAAAACTTCAGGCCGGTAGTCGACGTAGTTCTATTGTTGATACGAGAGCCAGTCAGGGGATATCAAAGTGCGCCTATTGGCGGGTAGCCAAGCGAGTGTACCATCAACTGGCGCCTGGAACCGGAGGCACATCAGTCTCATTCGAATTAAAACGAAATCAGACGAAGCAAGAAGCGACTTGCCGGCGCCCACACTGCATCGCTCGACAAGCACAGCTCTATTTAATTCTGCGAGAAGCGGGACAGCCTATCTCCTTCACATAGGAGAAGACAAATTACCGTCTTCCTCTGGAGTGCGAGATAGGCAGATCGAACTCATGCTGTGATTGTGAAGATAGTA